AGTAGTTACAATATTTTATGTTGCACAATATTTATGCACCTGTTTTCAGGAAAAAATATAATAAAAAGATTTTTTTGTGTACACAAACACTATATAATACCCATTTTTTTGGCAAAATAAGAAAGAGTAGTGTTGTGTTGAGTAGTTAGATACCAAATATGTCAAGTCTAAAAAATGTACCCCAAAATCTCGATAGATTGCACTTTAGAGCCTTTACTACTCATCAGTTTAGAGTTAACCATGAGTTCTGGCACTAGAATTATTGCTCTCACTCTGATGGTCATGGTGGGCGATGCCACACATGTGTGGTGTGTTCACAGTTTATATACACGTGCACACCCTTGGTGTTTGCATTTGTGGTTGTGTGCGGGCAACTTTTTTTGTGGATTTGAATACATTTTTTAGAGTGTTAGTTTTTTTTAAGCTTATTAATTTATTTTTTTAACTTTATAATCATCACAAGAGATTAACAAACCCCATGTGATAGCATTAAGCAGGTGACAAGTACTCTTTATGGAGACATTGGGGCTCTAATAGAACCCATTGTCTCCCCTGCCCTCCAAAACATCTAATCGAGCAGATCTCACTTACCTAGCTGTATCAGCCAGCGAATGACAGATTAGAAAACTGGAAGTGACAAAATCATTGTCGCTTCTGGTTTCATTCCATGCAGAGATCAAGGAATGGATGTTCCATGGTTTCCTCCAGCTTGCCATTTTGAAGCCCTCCGATGTGGTCCCGGGTTCCCAGTAAGAGTGGGAAAGCCTGGGCACCACCATGTGGGGGAAGGGGGATAGGAAGCACTCTGCTTTATAGCTGGGAGCTGGTTGAGTTAAACTACCACAAGCTGATGGCCATCAGCTAATGCCTAACCTTTCATCCTTTGGATGTACATAGTACGTTCAAAGAGCTTAACTGGTTGAAGCCCTGCTCTAGGTGGCTGCTGTTCAATGTACACATGCAGTGGGGTTCTCCTGTACTGCATGGGTTAAAGAATATGTTACCCCAACATTTTAAATTCCTGATAAGTGTCTGTTGTACTAAGTATTTGTGTTAAAAATGACCCTGTTTTCTTTGCATTTCTTCCTTTTTGTAAAATCCCCAATGATTCTGCCAGTCCCAGCGTGGTCCATTTTTTTTACTTGTGCTGGGAGAACAACCTGCCTGTCCTCCAATGGTCAGGACTTGTGCTGAAATGCCCAATTACACAACCATTCACTGGGAAGGTCAATATACTGCTGTTTTCTCCACTCCCACCTCTCCAAGCCTCTTATGCAGCTGAGAACAGAGATTATGTGAGGACTTAAAAAAGGGTATTTTTAATTTTTAATAATATCTATACTCAAATGTTTTGCCTTAAATTTTTATTTTAAGGTGAATGGGTTGTTTTACAAGGTAAGGGTTCACATATGCTTTAAATGCTCCTTTGGCTAAAGGCAAAGGAATACGTTGAAATACTTACTTTACTTCTTGTTCCCACAGGCTTCCTCCTCGCCGTGCAAGAGGTCCCCCAAAGCAGCTTCACTTCACTGCCTGGCCAGTCACAGCTCTCCAACGCCATCAATTACAATGCTGGACCAGCAGTCTCGCCCACTGCATGGTAAATTTAACAGCCCAGAGTGGGGCTTTCATGTACCATAAGGCATGCACTGGCTGACAAAGTCTGGCAAGAGCCCCTGTGCAATAACAATATTTGGGCACCAATTCAATTACTACTCAAAAAAAACGCATATACTCTCTATATAGAAAGACAGATTCATACAGTATATGCAGATGAAATATAGTCTTTGCACAGTCTGCACAGATGGTATTTCTGCCCCAGAATACTTGTGTGCACATCAGTAAAAATGTGTTAATAATCAAGAGAAAAATAGAACAATAGCACTAGGGCAGCAAAAGGCATCTTGCCGTTGTAGCATACACAACTCTAAAAAGCAGCTTAAAAGTTAAGATATTAAAGGAGAAGCTATGCTTATTTTACATATCTGGATTGACAGAAAACAAGGCATGATTTTGGGTCTGAGAGAATTTTCCTCATGTTGATTTATGCATTGTTGTGAGATTTACCCTGCCTTCCTGTCCTGCTGAAGTTTTACCACACAGGAAGTGAGGGGCATTTACCAACACCACCAGAGAAATAAAATGCTTTTTTTTTAGTAGAGTAGGGGAAGGCTAGAACCTTTGGTAGGTTTTTTTTTTTTTTTATTTATGTCTATTTCCTTGTTGCAAAGCTTACCTCACTTTCTGTCTGTGAAACTTTTCTGAATAGAAGAAGAAGTGAGGGTAAACCTAACACAGCCCCACATACCAATAAAACAAACCAGACAGGAGTTATAATCCTTCACCACTCTCTCAAGTTTGTGCCTCAGCATACACTTACCACTTTCACTGCAACCAATGTAAAGCTTGCATTGGCAGCATCATTGGTAGCACCAGAAGCACTCATTGGGACTGTATTTACATCTGACAAGCAGACTGACAGCTTTCAGGTAAAAGTGATTCAGGTGGCTTTACCACTTCCATACACTCCCTAAACCTGAGAATTGCAGTACATGCAACAATGTAAGGATATAGTGCATACAAAAGTCAAGTTAAAAACCATGGTAATTGCAATCCGTAACTATGTACTGGACCGTATATCAAGAGTGGATGAAAATATTGGACAGAGTGCACCAAGTACAAGTCTTGAGACCAGTAGGCCCAGGGATGCTCTGTGTTGTGTACATTTATTTACCTTAACTAGTTGCCGACCCACTCACAGTAAATCTACTGCGAGCGGGGTGGCAAGTGCAGGTCCTGCCACGTTCATGTACATTGCGAGCCTGCTTCTGGGTTTTGGGCACTAGCGCACGTGCCCCGTGCTGATCTGTGCTGTGATTGTCCACAGCACAAGTTGGAATAGCAAATCACAGAACAGAATCCTTTGTTTACAAACACACAGGACTCTGAGCATAGACAGACAAAATTCAGCATTAACAATCACTTTAACCACTTGTCCTCCTAAAGATTTACCCCCCTTCCTAACCAGACCATTCTTTACGTTATGGAGCTGCATTACTTTAACTGACAATTGCGCAGTCATGCAACACTGCACCCAAATTAAATTTATATCCTTTTTTCCCACTAATTGAGCTATTTGAATGCCTCTGCGTTTTTTTTTTGCGCTATAAAAAAAAGCCTGACAATTTTGAGAAAAAAATATATATTTTTGACTTTTTGCTATTAAACAAGTCCAGTAAAAACAATGTAAAAATCAAATGTCATAAATTTAGGTCAAAATGTATTCTGCTACGTCTTTGCTATAAAAAATCCCAATATATGCAAATTAATTGGTTTACGTGAAAGTTATAGCATTTACAAATGGCGGTATAGATACTGGAATTTTTTTTTTACTAGTAATAGTGGTGATCAATGACTTATAGCGGGACTGCGGCAGACATTCTGACACTGGGAGGAGCTGACTTTGTGTCACTGACATCCCCAGTGACACCAATACAGTGATCAGAGCTAAAAAAAAAGCACTGACACTGTACTAATGGCACTGGGCAGGAAGAGGTTAACATGAGGGGCGATCAAAGGGTTAACTGTGTGCAGGGAGTGTTTTACTGGGGGGCGTTGTCTGTGTACTTCACTGTAATCACACTGCTGTGGATGGCTGTGCTATGGATGGCTGTGCAGTGTGCCTGAACTGACAGGGAGGAGGACTGTTAATAAATAAAACAGGGCCAGGTGATTGACCCGGTGATTGACAGCCGTGGACGCCAATGGCAGTGTGGGCAGGGCGTGCGCGCCCCCTACCTGGAAGTGCAAAATAATATATATATATACATGATTTTGTGCACCCCTGCCGCCCTGTAGCAGTATATCTGCTCTGCCCTATAGAAGAACTACTGCTACATGACAGCAGGGCTGCACAAAATCACGTGGCAGCAGGGCTGTCAATCATCGGGTCCCGGCCATGCACTGCCCTACCCACGCCTCCATTGGCAGCTTCAGCTGTTGATCACCGTGTCCCGGCTTGAGATTCCCTGCCGGCACCTGGCGATCACCGAGGAACACTGACAAAGGAGAGGCCTGTATGTAAACAATACAGATCTCTCCCCTGTCAGCTCCACAGTAAAGCACACACAGACAACATAGTAAAACAACATACAGCACAAAGTTAACCTTTTGCTCACCCTAGATGTTAACTCCTTCCTGCCCAGTGTCATTATTACAGTGTCAGTGCTTTTTATTAGCACTGATCACTGTATTAGTGTCAGTGGGGATGTCAGTGGCAGTTAGTTCCCCCCCAGTGTCAGATTGTCCGCCGCAGTCCAGCTTTACTAGTATATAAAAAAACGCCATTTGTAGATGCTATAACTTTCATGCAAACCAATTAATTTACAAGTATTAGGATTTTTTAACAAAGACATATAGCAGAATACATTTTGGTGTAAATTTATGACAAAATTAGATTTTTTTAATTTTTTTTACTGGATATGTTTTATAGTTAAAAGTCAAAAATATATATATTTTTTCAAAATTGTCGGTCTTTTTTTGTTTATAGCACAAAAAATTAAAAATGCACAGATGATCAAATACCCTTGAAAGAAAGCTCCATTTGTGGGAAAAAAAGGACACAAATTTAATTTGGGTGCAGCGTTGCATGACCGTGCAATTGTCAGTTAAAGTAACGCAGCGCCGTATTGCAAACAATGGCCTGGTCAAGAAGGGGGGTAAATCCTCTGGAGGGCAAGTGGTTAAAGTGTCATTAACTAGTTGCTGACCGCAGATAGCCGAATGACGGCTAAACTGCGGCCGGCCAGTTCTGAGTGGACGTCATATGACGTCCTCCCAGAACGCGCTCTCCTGCGCGCCCCAGGGGGCGCGCACCCGGCGATCTCCGTGATCGCTGTGTCCTACGGACACAGCTGATCATGCGATGTGGTAAAAGGCCAATCATACCGGCCTTTTACCACGTGATCAGCGGTGTCCAATGACACGCTGATCACAGGGAAATGCAAGTGCCGGTTCTCGGCTGCACTTTCCTCACGCTGTCAGATCGTGAGGAAAGTACTGCCGAGAACCGGCAGTTGTCAGAGCGGGGATCGGCACCGATCATCAGGGCACTGATCATCAGTGCCCTGATGATCGGTGCCCAGCAATGCCACCCGCAAGTTCCGCCCACCTGTGCCCAGCAGTGCACCCACTAGCTCCGCCCACCTGTGCCCAGCAGATCACCCACCTGTGCCCAGCAGTGCACCCACCTGTGCCACTCTGCAGTGTCACACACCTGTGCCACTCTGCTGTGTCACACACCTGTGCCCAGAAATGCCACCTACCTGTGCCCAGCAGTGCCACCCACCTGTGCCCACCCACCTGTGCCCACCAGTGCCACCCCACCTGTGCCCACCCACCAGTGCTGCCCACCAGTGCCACCCACCAGTGCAGCCCAGCAGTGCTGCCAGTCAGTGCCACCAGTCAGTGCCCAGGGGTTGTGCCAGTCAGTGCCGCCAGTCAGTGCCCAGCAGTGATGCCAGTCAGTGCCGTCTATCAGTACCCATCATCAGTGTCACCTATCAGTGCCGCCTATCAGTGCTGCATATTAGTGCCGCCTATCCGTGACACCTCATTAGTGCTGTCTATCAGTGCCGCCTATCCGTGCCACCTCAGTGCCCTTTAGTGCTGCCTATCAGTGCCCATCAGTGCCGCCTATCAGTGCCCATCAGTGCTGCCTCATCAACGCACATCAGTGAAGGAGAAAAAATACCTGTTTGAAAAATTTTATAATAGAAACAAAGAAACTTTTTTTTTTTTTAATTTATAGCGCAAAAAGTAAAGCGCCCAGTGGCGATTAAATACCACCAAAAGAAAGCTCTATTTGTGAGAAAAAAATGATCAAAATTTCATATGGGTACAATGTTGCATGACCACGCAATTGTCAATCAAAGTGCGGCAGCGCTGAAAGCTGAAAATTGGCCTGGTAAATAAGGGGGTATAAGTGCCTGGTAGGCAAGTGGTTAAACCCTTATCATAAAAGTCGATCAATAAATACTGTAATGCATGCTGTTCGTACTCACTTGTTGAATATGGGATTCATTTTCCTGTCCCCACTGCAGTTGGAGATTTTGCATAGCAGTGTTGGTAGCTCCTGCACATGCTCAGTTTTCAGTGAGTTTCTATGTTGAGCATTTCCTCCCTATCACATTTGAGCAACCCATGTGACTATAGAGATGATTGATAGAGGCTTCACCTCCATGTTATTCTAGTACAGAGGCTGGAGGGGTGTGACACAGCCTGTGACTGGCAGAAATTCATCCACAACATGTTAATGCCACAAATAATAAAGATTTGATTTCAAATACATATTTGTATAATGATTTAAAACAGTTTATTGATTATTATTATTATACAGGATTTATAAAGCACCAACAGTTTGCACAGCGCGCTACAAAACCAAGGTAGACATTACAGTTACAATACAATTTGGTACAAAAAGAAACAGAGGGCTCTGCTCGTTAGAGCTTACAATCTAAGAGGGATGGTTGAGTGCTACAAAAGGTAACAGCTGTTAGAAGCAGGATAGGCTTCTTTAAAGAGAAGGGTTTTCAGGGATCGTCTAAATGTGGAAAGATTAGGAGATAGTCAGAGAGATTGGGGTAGGGACAGGGGCGGACTGACAACTCATGGGGCCCCTGGGCAATAGGGGATCATGGGGCCCCTGTGTCCTTGCCCAAACTCAAGAAAGCCTATGAAAAAGGTACCAGGGGCATCTCATGGGGCCCCCTACTGACCCCAGGCCATTGGGCAGTGCCCGAGTTTCCAAATGGTCAGTCCGCCCCTGGGTAGGGAGTTTCATAGCTTGGAAGAAGCTCAGGAGAAGTCCTGGAGGAGAGCATAAGGTGACACGGGAACTAGAGAGCAGAAGGTCCTGGGAGGATTGAAGAGAGCGGTTTGGTTGATATTTTGAGACTAGGTTGGTGATGTAGCTGGGGGCCGAGTTGTGGAGGGCTTTGTAAGTCGTTGCTGATATTTAAAATTTTATTCGTTGGGTGAGTGGAAACCAGTGGAGGGATTGGCAGAGAGGGGTAGCAGACACTTAACGGTTGGTAAGGTGGATGAGCCTGGCAGCAGCATTCATGATGGTCTGGAGGAAGTAGTACCTATCATGTTAGATCCATCATGGCAGTGCCTGTTAGCGGGCATCCACTCAGCTGCTGCCGCCACATCCTTCATCTTGTTGTGTCACTGCCGCATCTCCAGCAGTCCATTAAAGTGAATGGGACTGTCGGTTAGTCAACAGCGGGTCAGAAGAGGAGCCGCAGCAGGACAGGCCACTTTTTGCCAGGTTTTCGTACCATAATGACCACAATCCGTACTCTTACAGGTGACATACCTGCTAAGCAGCCTTGTTTACATGCCTTCTCACATTGATTAAACTCTCCTTTTTTGGCTGGAAAGTACAAACAGTCACCTTGCAGTGATGCCTATATCATTGACCTTTTTAACATTTCCCAGATAACTGTCCATTTGTTAACCAACTATGTAAAGCAGCTTTACAGCTTATGTTGGCTGCATCTGGGACACAGAGACCCCATTCTTCTTTATCATCAGTTGCCTTCAACAACATGCCCCTCAATGTATCTACAGAAAACAATCTAGAGCAGCGGTTCTCAACCTGGGGGTCGCGACCCCTTTGGGGGTCGAACGACCATTTCCCAGGGGTCGCCTAAGACCATCGGAAAACACATATTTCCGATGGTCTTAGGAACCGAGACACCGTGCTGTCTCCGGCGATGTGTGGGCGGGATGATATGCTGCCCCTGTCACCGCCTTCTCGCCGCTGATTGGCCACCGGAACTGTAGCTCAGGAGAGGCACACAGGCGGCCAATCACCGGCGAGAAGGTGGAGCTTGGAGAGGAGGAGCCGAGCGGCAGCGCACGGAGATCAAAGAAGATCGAGGGAGCTGCAGGAACGAGTGAAGAGAGAGGCCAGAGAAGGAAGACAGCTGACAGGTAAGTGCAAATTTTGCTGCTGCAGCCAGGTATGCAGCCAGGGAGAGGGAGAGAGCGAGCCCAGGCTGGAGCAGGAGTCAGCAAGGTAAGTATCATTGGTGTCAGTGGAAGGGATAGTGCCCCATCATTTGTGTCACTAATACCAACGATGGGGGCACTATTCCTCCCCCCCACTGACACCAACGATGGGGCACTATTCCTCCCCCCACTGACACCAACGATGGTGCACTATTCCTCCCCCCACTGACACCAATGATGGGCACTATTCCTCCCACTGACACCAACGATGGTGCACTATTCCTCCCACTGACACCAACGATGGGGCACTATTCCTCCCCCCACTGACACCCAACGATGGGGCACTATTCCTCCCCTCACTGACACCAACGATGAGACAGTATTCCTCCCCTCACTGACACCAACGATGGGGCACTATTCCTCCCCCCACTGACACCAACGATGGGGCACTATTCCACCCCCCACTGACACCAAAGATGGGGCACTATCCTCCTCCCCCCACTGACACCAACGATGGGGCACTATTCCTCCCCCCACTGACACCAACGATGGGGCACTATTCCTCCCACCACTGACACCAACGATGGGGCACTATTCCTCCCCCCACTGACACCAACGATGGGGGCACTATTCCTCCCCCCCACTGACACCAACGATGGGGCACTATTCCTCCCCCCACTGACACCAACGATGGGGCACTATTCCTCCCCCCACTGACACCAACGATGGGGCACTATTCCTCCCCCCACTGACACCAACGATGGGGCACTATTCCTCCCCCAACTGACACCAACGATGGGGCACTATTCCCCCCCACTGACACCAACGATGGGGCACTATTCCTCCCCCCACTGACACCAACGATGGGGCACTATTCCTCCCCCCACTGACACCAATGATGGGGCACTATTCCTCCCACTGACACCAACGATGGGGCACTATTCCTCCCCCCACTGACACCAACGATGGGGCACTATTCCTCCCCCCACTGACACCAACGATGGGGCACTATTCCTCCCCCCACTGACACCAACGATGGGGCACTATTCCTCCCCCCACTGACACCAACGATGGGGCACTATTCCTCCCACTAACCCAACGATTGGGCACTATTCCTCCCACTGAACAATGATGGGGCACTATTCCTCCCACTGATACCCAATGATGGGGCACTATTCCTCCCACTGACACCAATGATGGGGCACTATTCCTCCCACTGATACCAATGATGGGGCACTATTCCTCCCACTCATACCAATGATGGGGCACTATTCCTCCCACTCATACCAATGATGGGGCACTATTCCTCCCACTCATACCAATGATGGGGCACTATTCCTCCACCACCAATGATGGGGCACTATTCCTTCCACTGACACCAATGATGGGGCACTATTCCTCCCACTCATACCAATGATGGGGCACTATTCCTTCCACTGACACCAATGATGGGGCACTATTCCTCCCACTCATACCAATGATGGGGCACTATTCCTCCCACTGATACCAATGATGGGGCACTATTCCTCCCACTGATACCAATGATGGGGCACTATTCCTTCCTGACACCATGATGGGGCACTACCACTAATGATGGGGCACTATTCCTCCCACTGACACCAATGATGGGGCACTATTCCTCCCACTGATACCAATGATGGGGTACTATTCCTCCCACTCATACCAATGATGGGGCACTATTCCTCCCACTGATACCAATGATGGGGCACTATTCTCCCACTGATACAATGATGGGGCACTATTCCCCCACTGACACCAATGATGGGGCACTATTCCTCCCACTGACACCAATGATGGGGCACTATTCCTCCCACTGATACCAATGATGGGGCACTATTCCTCCCACTGACACCAATGATGGGGCACTATTCCTCCCACTGATACCAATGATGGGGCACTATTCCTCCCACTGATACCAATGATGGGGCACTATTCCTCCCACTGACACCAATGATGGGACACTATTCCCCCACTGATACCAATGATGGGACACTATTCCTCCCACTGACACCAATGATGGGGCACTATTCCTCCCACTGACACCAATGATGGGCACTATTCCTCCCACTGACGCCAATGATGGGCACTATTCCTCCCACTGACGCCAATGATGGGCACTATTCCTCCCACTGACACCAATGATGGAGCACTATTCCTCCCACTGACACCAATGATGGAGCACTATTCCTCCCCACTGACACAATGATGGGGCACTATTCCTCCCACTGACACCAATGATGGGGCACTATTCCTCCCACTGACACCAATGATGGGACACTATTCCTCCCACTGACACCAATGATGGGGCACTATTCCTCCCACTGATACCAACGATGGGACA